ACAGCTGATCAGGGCACTGTTAGTGGAGCTTAACAGCTTTTGCAGGCTTTGTACATTTCCTAGGAAAAAACCCTATTTTTTTCAAGGATAATAAAAAAGAAGGTCTTGAAGAGGTTTTAGCTTTGAACAGTTGAAGCAGGCCAGAGGGAATAAGAAACTTTCCCATTCTCATTTTGCAGCTGGAGTACTGAGGCACAAAATATTTAATTGATTTGCCTAGGATCACACACAACAGTTGTGTTAAGACTAGTAAATAAATTCAGATAATCTTAGTCTAGATTCAGGTCCTTAGGCCATCTTTCTTCTGTAAAATAAATTTTAAAAAATTCTTTAAGGCTTCAGTTTGGTGAAGCATCAAGACGTTTAAGAGAGAAAAAATAGGTTACTTAATTTCAATAATGAAGTAATTAAGCTTGTTTTCCCTTTGTTTTTGATTTGGAATTACTTTTGGTGAAGGTGTAATTATAAATTCATAAGTTTCAATTGATAAATACCTAGATTGTACATGTTAAGGACTTACATATTAAGAAACCTGAAGTCCATGCTTGTATCCAATAGGACCTTCTTGGAAAATTATTTTGTCACTTTGGATAAGACTTCGATTAATTAAAATTTGATTTACTGCATTCCAGTAATGTGGAATAATGTCCTGATTCTGTAAGTTACTAAAACCCATCATTTCATGTACTTAAGAATAGATACACACTTAAGTCTTCTTTTGAATTGTTTGAATTGTTTAGTTCATTTGTCTAAATATTCTTAGCATCTTTGATTACTGTGTTAACATGTTTTCTTTCTTCTTTCATGTCTCTTTTTCAAATTGAAAAAAATCAGTATGTTTAGGAGACATTGACAGACCATTTTAATTTAAGCAACCCGATCTCAGTAAATATCTGGTATGTCTAATTTCTAACCAAAATTACAGTCCTTATTGTGTTCAGATCTGTATTTCTGCATAATCATTTAAATTTGGAGCTGTTTTGGAATTGCTAAAGTAAAATGTAGCTTAAAAATTACATCAAACCTTTAATTTCACAGACACCTTTTTTAATACCCAAATTTGAAATATTTGAATCCTAAGTTAAAAATAATTCCCATGTGTTCCTTTCTTGATACAACAGTAAGTTTCAGTATATATAAAAGTAGATTTTGTGTTCAATTTCCAAGGCATTAGAATTCTATAGTAGAACCGCGTAACATGATTTAAACTTAAATTACATTTCTTTCCTTCAGAAAGATCAATCTAAGTTCTACCAATAGCCAATATGCTTTCGGCACCTTTCACTGTAGTGTAGATTTTATTTTTTGGATTACAGGTAGGAAGACTTTATTCTTTGAAATGTAGAGGTGTGGAAAAGGAATAATGCAGCTTCAAACAAGGAGGAAATTTGACTAGTACCTAAGAGGAATAATAGAATCCTGGTGCAGTGCTAGCTCAATTCACTAAGCTTGAACTCTTTTCAGAGTAGGCAATTCAACTGTTACGTATTAAAGAAAGCAAATTTAACAGTAAGAATTAGCGGAAGCTTTTGGATTATAATTGTAATTGGGGTAATTTTGTGAGATTCATTAGCAAGATGATCTCATTTGTACAAATGTAAAACGTATCACTCATGAAGTTCTGTCAGGTTTCCATTGACCCAGGTGCTTATAATGTGTTAATTTACATCAGAGAAACAGCAGTGTGTGGAAATTGGGCAGCAGATAGGATTTAGTTATTTTTCATTAGCACTTGGACTTTGATAAAGGGGAACAGAAAAGAGCTGCTTGACCTTTCAGTGCTTAAATTATTAAAGAGCAAATAGATTTGAGGTCTAGATGCTTGCAAATCTAATTTGTCTTGTGGAGTAAGGATGAAAAGACATTTTGAGTTTGAAATTGCTCCAGTCAACTTAGTTCTTTCTTTAATGTCTCTGAAGATGAATAGATGACAGGAATTTAAAATGTAATATACAAGGAGTACTGCATGTAGTATAACTAACATGAATTTACCAGAGGAAAAGGAGCATTTTGATGACAGAATTGTTTCTAAAATATTTACAATCTTTAGCTTTAATCACTGAGTGAAAAATGAAAGGAATCCTCATTTCAACCAGTACTGAAACAGGTCATATTACCTTGTCTGGTCTGAGGTCCCTCTTATATTCAGTCCTGCTGTGATAACAAAGGTAACAATACTCTCCTGAAGGCGACAGCCAAATAACTTAGTTTACTATCCATCATGCTTTAGTGAAACTGAGGGATTCTTTCCTTTGCTGCAGTATTAGGCAAGTGTATCCAGCTTCATTACCTTGCAAGACCAAGATGTTTACATCACCTTCTACTTTTTTCCCAATGCTCCATTTAAATGCGCAAATGGTATTTATTGTAGATTCACTGTAATTTAGTAGTTAGAGGAGGCAACACGCTCTCTTCAAAGTAGCTTGGAATCCCAGTTCTAAGCAACTGTGTTTTGTTCTAGAAAATTAACTGCTAAAATCATGTCAAACATTGATCTGGAAGAGAAAAAACAAGATTGTAATGTAAATATTTCATGGCTAGTTTTTACAGATCAGTTCTTATAGGGTCAAAGAAAGGTTGCCATGTATTGACCTTCATTTACTACTCAGCATGGAATTAATCAACTCATGAAAATCTTTCTGCTAGATGTGTAGACTGTGTTGCGCAGAGCTGCAAAATGTATAGACAGTGGTCTTCAAGTGGACCCTCAAGACATTTGTTTGTCTCTCTGTCTGTACCAAACTTAAACATGGTTAGATTTCTGCGTGGGGTTCAGCATCAGATTAAAACATCTAAATGTAGGTGTCCGCTTGTAGATATCTACATGTGAGCTGAGTATTTAGTTATTAGTCAGTGGAGCCTAGGAAGCAATTAAGTTGACCCAAAAGTAGACACCTCCTTGCTGGTCAGGTCTTTAAGATCTGTTGCCTGTACTTAGTAGCTCTCCAGTGACTGTAACGGGAGTTTACGGATATATAGACATCTTCATGAAGACACTTAAATTTTAAGTGTCTTAACATTAAACTAAATCTCCACCGTGGTGAAAATCTAAATCAGGCAGAAGAAGAGGTATTAAGCATTCTCAGTGTTAACTTTCTGGGCATTTTCTGTGAGCATGGGAAGTGCAGCATCTCCTACTGGAGATGCTAGATCTTAAAAACATAGTGAATGGGGTCTTTTGCACATGATCAGTAGGTCTGGTGAAAAAACAGTAAGATGGCTGAGAGAATTGGCATTCTTCTGCCTCTTGGTAATACTCAGCTGTGAAGGCTCTGCAGACCTAGCATCATGCTGTCATAGAATCATGAAGTCATAGAATGATTTGGGTTGGAAGGGACCTTTAAAGATCGTCTAGTCCAAACCCGCTGCCATGGGTAGGGACATTTTTCACTAGATCAGGTTGCTCAAAGCCCCATCCAACCTGACGTTGAACAGTTCCACTGATGGGGCATCATTCAAGCACACAGCATTATCTATACATGCAAAGGCAGCTCGAGTGTAGAAGCAGTATGTTAGTGTGGTTGTGCACTGAGTCAGTAAGGCTCCAGAGAGTGTGCAAGAGCTGGAGAGCTCTATGCCAGAGCTCAGAGCAGCTTGAGTCTAGCAGAGCCCCAACAGGTGCAGGAGCTCGCTGGCTATGAGCTGGCTTGGTGACTGCACAAAGTCATCTCTTTTATTTCTAAACCAGATTTGCCTTCAGAAGGGGAATAGCCATAGCTGTGCAGTGATATGACTAAGCCAATAAGCCCTGTTGGGTCCAGACTGAGACCTGCAGAGGCCTAGCCCAAGTGTCCCTGTACTTTGGGCAGAGTCTTCTGTAAACATAATCATCTACCTACAGATGGTGGAGTGGGAACAACATGTCAGAAGACTGTATGGCTATTTCATCTTCAAGAAACATACCCTACCCAGAGATTGCTGCTTTTTATGAATTATCAACTTGAAAGATCATAAATTGTTATTAGATGTAGATGATGTGCAAAAATGTGGACACATTGCCGCTTTAACATGTTACCTATACTGACTTGCTTACCGGGATACAAGATTCCAGGAGACAAATAATGATTAAGAATCACTGGTCCCCAGTGAAGCAATAAACTTGCAAGCCAGTCCTCTTTAGAGACATGGACTTCCCACTTCACAAATTTGAAAGCACTGACTCAGGCTTTTACAGCAACTGCAAGGGTATAATGATTACACTGTTTGCATATACAGCAGAAATCACAATTTCTTTGTTCCTGCTTGAATGTCCATAGCACCTTTACAGTGGAGAAGGATGGACTGTTCCCTGTAGGTCCCAGTACAGCAAAGAATGCAAGTGCAAACTGAATTGCTTTGCAGAATGCAGAAACACTTAAAAATATGGTTATCTCTAAGATATGGAAAAGTGCTTTGCTGAGTGAGAATAACTTCCATCAAAAAGTGTTTTATTCTTGCTCAGTAACAGTCAAAATGCCACCGAAATTTTAAAAGACTGTAATTTACTCTATGTGTGCTTTTATAAATAGTTATAATGTCAACAGTTAAGCAAATACTGTTCCCTGTCTCTTTGTAGTTTATTTCTTCATTTTTATCTTACTACTTATTTCATTTCATTTAGATGAGATAAACAGGTTAGAGAATGGAAGCTATAGCTTTATACTGACTTCCGTGGACAAAATAATACTTAATTCTACATTTGAGCACTAATCAAGCAAGATTTTTCTGTACAAGAGTTCGAACAAGAAAGTGTTCTGTGCATTTGCTATGTGAAAAGCTGTGATGTGTATGGCTAATTTTGTTTTTCCAAAACCAAATGAATTTGTTTGAAAACATGAATCTATTCCACAAATTTGTACACCTAAATACCAAAATGACACTTTCTTCACGTGTCCTTTGCTTTTAACAGTTCTTTTTTTCCATAAGTACTGGTATGCTATTATGGTTTCAGAATGAGTTGACTGCCGGAGTCTTAAAATAACCAGTGTGTTTCTTTTGTTCTTTCCTTTCTACACTCTTAGCGTCTATCAAATAGTTGTTGAAGAAGAACGCCCACGGAGGACCAAAAAGACAACCGAAATCCTGAAGTGCTACCCAGTGCCCATTCATTTCCAGAATGCCTCGCTTTTGAATTCCCAGTACTACTTTGCTGCAGAGTTCCCAGCCAATGGTTTACAAGCTGCTCAGCCTTTTACAATTGGTGATAACAAAACCTACAGTGGTTTCTGGAACACTCCCCTTCTTCCTCATAAGAGCTACAGCATCTATTTCCAAGCTGCTAGCAGAGCCAATGGGGTAAGTCTTATGACAGGTGTGGTTTTATACAGTATTTGTGTGTAAATAGATGATTGGCACCAACTAGCAAGATGCCCAATTTAGTTGCTAATGAGCAAATGAAGTAACCGTGAAATTTAACACACCGAGTTTAAAAAATAACAGTTTTCCTAACACAATATTGCTTAATGATTAAAGGTTACAGGAGAGAGGAGGGGAAAACACATTTTGTCAATAGTGAGTAAGCAAAGTAGTGTGTTACCATTCTGTCTTATTATCTAAAAGCTGTACAATGAGTGTGTTTGGCTTTTTTTCTTTTTTTTTTGTTTTTCTTTTCTTGCTTTGAAGAGGAGAGTGTTGTGATTTCTTTTGTTAACTTTAAGCCAAACTTGATTGTGGATTTTAGCACATCTGTCTTGGCCTGTCCAGTCCCATTACCTTAGTTTGTAATGTCTTGAACTCCCATTTTCTCATTTGGTTGCCCTGACTGAATTAGAAACCACTTTTTTCCTCCCTTTCTGCAAACAGTAAAAGAAAAATAAGTAGATGGAACTGAAATGAAAAGTGTGTAAAAAGGTCTTTGCAGATCATGTTTCATCAGACTAATTCTTCCTGGAATTGTTTTTCATTTCCTGGACAGACCTACCCAGAGCCCTTCAATTCTTGATAAGCTTTGGCTGTCTGTGCTGACAGCCTGGAAATGTTTTCTGCTAGAAACCATAATGGTCCCTCTTTCACAGTGCACTGACAGTGCAGAAATGTGAAACACCATTGATTATTTTTTCTTTCTAAAATTGTCTAGCATGATGCCTCAAACTATACTATCTGTAAGAAAAAGAAAAATCTCCCAAGGTCATTATGTTGCCAAAGTAAAAAAGCTGAACACTTGCCTGTTCTCTTGTGAATATCTTTCACATCTTTTCTACTTTTAGAGGAATCTTAAGTGAAATGTTTATGTACCATACCCAAGCAGTGTTTGTCCATATTATGAAAGCACATTGGAGTTGCTTAATAAGCAGTTAAATATGTGACGAGGCACATTAAATGAACACTTCTCTGACATTTTATCAGTACTTTTAAGAATAGAATCATGGATGACTTTCTTTGCTTAGAAACACAAGATGTGACCTTTTTCCTTTTTATTTGACACAGGAAACCAAAATTGACTGCGTCAGGGTAGCCACAAAAGGTATGTTCATATTATGTCATATAGTCTGTATTTCAGCTTGCTGACCTTTCCTTCACGTGGTCTTTGCAAACTTCCAGAAGTGTTTATATTGCTAAAAGGCATCACTAAACTTATTACAGAATTTTAAATTATTCATTTGCATCTCTAGCTGAGATTTAGGAAGTTTGTTTGTTTGTTTGTTTTTAATAATAAACATATTACTCATTTTTAGTTGTCTACTTGCACACAGGATTTATACAATATATTCTGTGGGTTTTTATATGATCTCACAATAAATATTTTGGACTTTTCTATATATAGTAGAGTTGTAAAATTACAGTTGCATAGTGCATACTAGCTGCTTATACATCCGTAGTGAAAAATTACCCCTTACTTGTAAGCAATTATCTTATCTTAATTGCTTTATAAAAGAAAAGTGGAGAAATCGTGTTCTTCATTTTCATGGTACAGATCAGCTATATTTATTGGACTGTCAGCACATGATACTACAATTTGTGAGACAAGTTTGTATAATTGAGACAGTGCTAGCTATAGGTTTGATCCCCAAACAGGGCAAGATAAACATGCTGCTGATATATTTTACTTTGGAGGCTAGGATTTGTCTGTGATTATCTTTGTAGTCTCAGCTTTTTAGTACCTCTAGCTGGTGGCAACTTCAAAGCCTGAAAAAGAAGTGATGGGATAGTATGATTATTTGGAGATTGTAATAGAGGAAAAGGAAAGAAAGTACTGCTGTGAGTAGGAACAGGTAATGCCACCTTGCGGTTTGGGCCCCCGGTAAGAGTATGAAACAAAAACTACTTCATCCCTATACCACTGTTCCTTGTGGGAGATCGTGCATGTCTCAGTGACTATCCCTAACGTAACTGATTCCACCATGATTTCCTTTACATGTAGACTTCACAATTCCACCACCACCACTAAATCTAAATAGGATGGATGAGAATCTCATTACTTAAAAGTAACAGAAATGTTAGCATACAGTTGCCTGTGTTGAAAGGCTGGATCCTCCCTAATATGACAAATACATTTTTTATGGCTCTTTGAACTGGTTCCTGTTTTTTTTTCCCAAACCAAAGGAAGTAGTTTTAATTCTAATTTACTAGCTGACTGCTTACTAGACCATAGAAAACTTTCAAATATCTAAACTACAACCCAATAAAAAAATCGATGAGAGATTAATTCCATATTCAAGTGGAAACCTGTGGTGTTGTTTTCCAGTAGCTTCAGTGATACCAGGAGTGGAATATATTGCCTCAGAAATCATAATAGGTGGTTAGAGAATCGATTTTAAATTATTTGAAGATTTGTATTCCTAATCGCTAATGGATGTTCAACTATTTCAATTACTTGACTGACTGAAAAATCTTACTCTCTCATTTGAGAAGCAAGAGTAACTTTATGGATTGGAATAGCTCCCATAGCAACAAACTACTTTGAGCTAACCCATTCGGCAATGGAGATGTGAGAAATGCAGCTTTTATTTTAAACAAATCTCCATACATGTCTGTTTTGAAATCATGTTTCAGAATTCTTCGTAATACCTTTGTGAAGCCTGTAAAATAATGTGAGGGGTTGTTGTGAGGACTTTGAAACCGGAGGTGTCCTCAGTGGCATTTATAGTCCCTAGTGCAAATCTTTCTTGGGGGGCTTCTGTAAAGCACTGATTTCCATGCTTATAAACTGAATATCTGTATTATATTTTTAAACTATATTAATTTTTAAAAATAAAATGGAGAGCAAGAGATATTTTAATATTATATTAATCATACCTGTCTCTACAGATTTTTTCCCTTTAGATCTAACAGAGATACTTGAAAGAAAAACAGACTTCTGTGCCCTCTTTGGACTTCCCACATATGGACTAGAAAAAAATAGCACAAATGCTTAATGTCTGTAGGTCAGAAGTCACCACACCTGCCGCGGGGCAAGACAGAAAATTGTCCTCTCCCATTCACTTCCCCTTCTGTCCACACACCCCCAAACAGCTTAGTACAACATTCACATTGCCTGTACCCCAGGAAACAAAGGCTGCTCTGAGTGCTGTGCCTGATCTCTTACAGACACACACGATTTTCCACTGAGTTTTGTGACTAAAGTATAGCTACTAGACAGTAAGCTACTTAAGCGCTCTCATGTGTTCGTTGTGTCCATCTATTTATTACAGTGCTTCTTACAAATAAAGTTGCGAACTCTCTCCAGTACAACATCTAGTTTTGGTATACTAATATCATTTCTGAAATGTTTGTATTCTGGGCTTCTGTTATCTTTAAAAGTTCAAGTTTGGTGGGTTTTAAAGCTAAAAGGAAGTGCTTTAGGCCATTCATGTATAAAACTGGTACAATCTTCTTTTAAATTAAGGTCTGATCCTGAAAATACTTATAGCCTTGTGTAGGCCATTGGGAGTTAGTAGACGTACTCTAGAATTTAACACGTATGTGGGGAAACCATATGCTTCTAGGCCCTAATCAAGTCAGTTATGTACCTGATTTTGAGCACAAAGAATAATCTCACTGACTACGTTGCAACTATTCTGCCTTAAAGTAGACATGTAAGTATTTTACTGGGTAAAGGCCTGTGCCGTAAAGTATACCCTGTAAAACAAACATGGCAGTGCAGCCGACTGTCCGCTTGTTTCTTGATTCCCTGACTGCAGTTAACTTCTGCAATTGCATTCCCATGGAATTTGAGGATTGCACCAACTGCATTGGCAGCCCCTCCTGGGATCCCGGTCACCCAAGGCAACCTCCAAGCTGCTCCACTGAGCCAGCTGAGCTTGGCCAAGCCACCTCATTGTCTGTATTAAGGGCGTGTGGTTAGCCTGTTTGAAGTCTGCCCTCAGGACCAATATGGGAGTTCAGAACCTGACATGAGCATAGCTATATCATTTGCTAGCTGTATTTCCTTTAATTATCCCAACTCCAGATAATCTAAAAGTTGTTGGTGCCCTTGAGACCTTCTTAAGATCATTGAGATTCTGTTTTATCACTGCGTTTTGCAGTGTTCATTCCATGGCCCACTGTATGCTTTTGTATTTTTTGTTAAAATAAATGAGTAAGTGTAATATAAAGATACAGAGCTTTCTTGCCCCAGATCCAGCAGAACTCCTGAGTAGGTACTTCAATTTTCACTCCAGTTGATGTCAACAGGGATAATGCATGTGCTTACTGTCAAGCATGTGATCAACTGGCATACACTAGACTCTGTTGCTGGATCAGAGCCAACGTGCACTGGATAGCCTATTACCATATTGACAGGCTTCTTATTAGAAAAGTAAACCCTAACTCTAGAAAAGTACAGCCTAACTCTAGTAGGTCAAATGCATGTGTAGGGTCTGTAGCTGGATAATACCTTCTCATTACATCAAGTCTATTTTAAACAACCTCGATTTGTAACATTTTAAAAAATGCTCTTGTTTTATGACCATTACATTTTTACAAATGAAACCTCTGTTAAATGTGTTCTTTTAGAGATCATATAAAAATCCTGATTGCAATGACTGTAAGTGTAATTTAGGATCAGAGTATTGGGTTTTGTTGAGCTGAAAGTTCTCCTCCTGCTTCTGCTGAAGTCAAGGGGAACCTTTGCCACTGACGTTGCTAGGAGAAGGATCAGACAGCATATTCTTGTGATGCGGAGTCTTCTGTTCTTTGTTGTCCCTAGAGAAAGGCTTCTAGGACCTCTGTGACTATTTGGTGTATATACAAATGTGGAGACTGCAGGGTTTCCACTCCCATTATTTTTGACAACATAATTAAACAAACAAACAAACAAAAATCAGGAAGAGATTTTTGTACCAGTGGTAATAAAGGGTGTCGTATTTTGCTTGAAATACGGCTTTCATATACCTACTCTTTCTTCAAGCTAAATGACTGTAAAATCTCAGCAGACGAAGTTGAAAACATTCCAGAACTCCTCCAAGTTTATTGCTATCAACTTTGTGGTGTTTTGTGATTTATATTAAGACTATATTTCCTGATATGTCTTACAACACTGTCTGGATAGAAACATCTAGGTTATCTCCTAGGATTCCAGTTCTCAAGAGGGAGACATTATTGTTCTAATTTTGCAATATTGGAAGGCTTTCATTAATTATGAGAGTGAAAAGGATATTATAATATTTTAAATCCAATAGCAACAGTACTCTAGCAGCTACTATCAACACTGCGTTTCACTGTTGCAGAGGGATATTTCAAAATATTATGCAGCAGCAGTTTTGAGTTTAATTGTCTGCAGATGGTAGATGATCTATTTTCCTCACTCGTTGCCACATTTCTAATAGCACCCAGGCTGTTCTATGTAAATGAGTGATCTTTCATATAATTTTGTCCTTAATTTTCCAATATTTTTTCTTTGCATCATTTTCCAGCTGCATCATGTTGGATCTGACCTTTTAATTTTTTTTATATTCCTTAATATATATGTATCATAGTGTGCTTAACCATTTAGAGGCAATCATAGAACTGCTGGCAAACAAAGAAATATGAGATTTTATTAATGTGAGCCAAGGTAATAGTTATCTATACCAGTCAGTGATTGTTACAGCTCCACCAGAAGAGTCTGAATACTTCAGGCACACAAACGATTCAGGTTTTTCGGCTTTTTCTTGTCTTAGTGGAAAAACATGAACTTGAATCTCAGACCTCAAACAGTTACATACATACCTAATTAAAAGCATGCCAACTCTCAGTGGTCATTCTCTGTATGCTGAAAGTTAAGTATATGGGTAGTGTGTGCATTTTCAGAACAAAGACCCAAGTGGGTACAAGAAAAATGAGTCTTAGCTAGCTCAAAAATATATTTTACATGAAAATTATCTTAAAAAAGAATTACAGGAAAAATGTACTATGTTGAAATAGGAAAACAAAAAGTGAAACTAGTTCAAATTACCTGGAGAAGTTAATACTAGCGTAATCTGCATCAGCAGTTAACTTTCACTTAGAAAGCCCAGTGCTGTGACTAGCAGAGCCAGAGAGTCTCCAGTTTCCTCACGTGCATTATATGTAAATAATGTGCTTTGAGTCCTCTTCCTGAATGGAAGTCACATACAAAAGTTTATTAATTTGCAGAATAACCAAACTAACAACTGAAGATGAAAAGGAACTTGTGGGAGTTTTTTGGTTTTTATTTGTAGGAAGTTCAGACAATAAACTATTGACCAAGATTCTTCTTGCTGGCCTAGCTTCAGTCTGGCTTTTTTTTCCCTCATGCATGCTGACCTGGAAATCTTCCTTTGCCTTAGCTGCGATAATCGTGACTCAGCTTACAACACCATACATTCGCATCGCCCCTGCTGCAGGCGACGACCAACTAACAGGTCAGATGTTCAAGTATAGACAAGTCATCATGCCCATTTTGTCTCATTTTCTTTGGCTCCTTTTCCCTGATGGTTTCTTCACTCTCTGCTCATAAATAGTTTTCTATGTTAAAAGTTTCTTTTTGTTTATAATTTTTTCTTCAGCTCCATTGAATTAAATTGTGTGCTTGGCACCAAAACTTACACACGCATCCGTGTACGTACAACTCCGCTGCATGTGCCCATTGTGTGTGTGATCTGTGGAATGTTCCTTCAAGCCTGATGTTGTGAAGAGATCTAGTCTTGCTCCATCTGTAAATTAAATAACAGTTTGAATATAGATATATATCTGTGTACCTGTTTATTTTTTTCTGTGTTATTAGATCAACACACTAGAATCTCTAAATAATTTAGGCTCAAGAGTTGCATGTGTAAGTTAGGACAAAGATCTTGTATTAATGGATTTTTTTTTTTTTACTGCAGAATGTTTGGAAGATGGTATTTTCTGGCAACATTTCAATATGCAAAAAATTAAAATAAAGAAATAAAATTGATTCCTTTTTATATATGTCATACATGAGTTCTAGGATTAAAACAAAATAACCTAGTATGTGACTTATGCGAATGAACAAGACTGTAAGGTTTTTAAATCTAACTGTCAAAGTAAACTCAGTACGCAAGTGAGACAATTATTAGACTGTGTGTGGCTTGAAGGCCAGTTCAGAATGTACCAGAAAATCTTTATGAACTTGGGGAAATGATTCATTTTATCAGAAAATAAGCTTATGCATAAAGCTTTTAAGTGATTTGGAAACCTTTTTATTTTCAAACAGAAGCAAAGAGCATTAAAAAGTGAGTTTGATGGAGTATGTAACAGGGGAAGTTAGACCTAGTCCATCAGCATTTAGGATATGATAAAATCATTGCCTTTTTCAAGAATACTGGCATAGTTACTTGGGAAGCATGTAAATGTTGCTACCGGGGTGTCTAAGGGACGAGGAGGAGTTCAGATGCTTAGCATCTGGATACTGCTATAGTCAATAAGAGACAGTTAAATGATTCAGCTTAAGATAAGAGGATTAGCGACATGTCTGCTATAGCTTCTAATTCTGGGGTATGTGTTATAATAACAAAGCTGGGTGATCCATGATGCCCAAGTTGCCATGTCAATCAAGACAAAATTGTTGCATGTATATTTGTGTTATGTAGTAACATATGAACTAATCAGAATAACGTGTTTAGATGATGCCAGTAAGTACTAGCTTGTTCTTGTTAGTGCTGTTTGTCAGAAGCTCTGTCCACATACATTTTTATAGTTCAATTATTTTTTGCCTGAGAATACAAATAAAGCTTTGAAGAGACAAAGAACATCTCTTCCATATCCTTGAACTTCAACAACTTTTGATTTCTTCAGGATTCAAATAAGCTTACATATTCTCCATATGGAGAATTAAATGTTTTTCGTCTCTTATTTTGTTTTTTATTTGTTTTAATGCAAAACTGGGTAGCTACAGGAAACACTGGAGATATGCCTGTTCCACAAGAGAGAGATGGCTATAGTAGTTAACAATGAGAGAACAAAGATATAGCTAGCATAGGACAGCCAGCAAAGTATTTATTTGGTTGCTTTGTCACTGGTGGCTCATAACACTGGCACTCTGTGGTTGTCTGTCAGATCTGTGACTTTTATTTCCTTTTTTTTTTTTTTTTAAATCTCTTCTACCAGAAACAAATTTTAATAGTGAAAAAGAAAGTATCAAATGATACCTGCAAACAGCATTTATGGCTATCTGTGAAATGTATTAAAAAGCCTCTGAAATCCCCTCATCATTTTCGCAACCCCTTCTCATGCTTGAAAGACTGTGTGATCAAAAGGAACGAAGCATCTTCTTCCTCCTCAGTTGCCACAACTGCAATAGGGAGTGAAAAAACCTCACCCAGCCCACGTGGTTGGTCCCATGACAGCAACAGGAATTCATGTTTTTCTACAGAGACATGCTGTGTAGGGGTCCCTTAGGGAGGCTTTTCAACTTCAGGGCAGTACAGCAATAACGGTATCTGCAGTACCCATGAGGAACCCAAAGATTTTCTTAAAGGAGATTTACAGGAGCTGGACTGGACACGAGGAAGCAGGGAATGATGCACATTCTCCCCACACTTTTCTCCTACAAATTCCCAGACTGTGGAAAGGATCTACATGTAAAAGGACTTCTTTATGTGGAAATCATAGGACTGTTGCTAACTGTAGTTACCACAAGCCCTACAGCTGTAACTGTTAAATGTAACTTAGCATTTTCTATTCGGTGCCTTTTCCTCACTTCTTTGCTCAGCACCAAAGTAATTACATTTGAAATCAAGAAATTACTTTTGTCTTTTAGCATTTGAGGAGACACATAACCGGCAGTGGGGAGGTCAGGGTTGCGATTTTCTATTTTTCAGGTGGGAAGTGGATGCTTCTTGCATAATGAAAATTTAAAATCTTGGCTGCATTCCTGAATATTGTTACCAGTTTTGAAAGGTCTTCCTCTTCAGAAAGATCATGATAATACAGCTCAGCTTTCAAGCCAACTCTACTTGCACTCATTTCCTCCACCCTCGTCATCAACTCATCCTGGCCCTTACTGGTGCAGTTTATAAACAATGCATTATTAGTTCCTTTTTGTCCTTCCTTTCTCCTTCTTTTTCATATAAAAATGACTTCCATTTACAGGATTGCCTGCTGTTTGCCCTAAATATCTTGACAGCCACTCCTTGCTTCAGTACTCCTTTGCAGCCTGTAGCAAAAGGAACTTTTTCTTGCAGTTGCGCTTAAATACCTACAATGTGGTTGTCCTTAAGTTACAGCATAACATAACATGCTGTAAAGGCAACTGTGTGATTTTGATTCTTACAAGCCAAAATAGGTAAATTAGTGTTGTTAGTATTAGTGAATACATTATTATCACTGGTTCAATAACTTGGTAACTAAGGAATTCAAATCTGGGGGAGAGTGTTTAACTTTCAGTGTTAACCTTACAAAAAGTAACTAACTTGAAATCCACGCAGTTGACCCTATTCTCCAACAGATAGGGAGAATATCTAACTATCTAACATCTGTCAGCCAGGAGAAAAGACCATGTATACATGAAGCATAATAGTCCTCATGATACCGTCTACATGTTTTCATAAACAAATACGGTTTAACAGTACAGTTGAGATCATGTAGAAGGTTAACAAAAAACTTATCACATACATAAGTGACTGTATGATCTTAACTTTAAAGTAGAATAACAAATCCATGTTTCTGAGAAAGCCTGAAAGCATTTGCAGTTTGCTTCACTACTTTGTAAGAGACACTTCATGTAATAGGTTTAAATTGGCCATATTTGGTATTCACGTGGCCCTCATCTATTTTGTTCTGTCTGCATTCTGATAAAATAGCATGCTTGGAATTACGATTAGGGTGTTCATTCTTTCAGGCGTTTTCTTAATTGTTGAAATATGTCTGAGCTACTTATATTTAAATTAAAGTATTTCCATTTGTGATTTAGTGGAGCAGCCACTACTTTACTGGATATTATTAAGACTGATTTCCATAGAGCGCCCTTTTTACTACCCATTGTTAATTACACATGCAGCTGGAAGGGAGAGTTCTGTATTGTACACTCTTCAGAGATTAAATTCTTGGTACAAATCAGATACAACAAGATATGTCAGAAGTTTGGGAGAATAACTGATACTTGAGAATTGGGAAGAATTTTTAGAAAAAGATAGTGGCAATCTTAAAGCTTAAAGGATTTCTACTCTGCATACCTTAAGGTCTAGATGAGCAGCATATTTTAGAACCATGTTAAAAGCACTCATAAAATAATCCCAATTGGTTTCTTCTCCCTTATGAAGTTAGCAGCATAATAAAATATACAGATTTCTTCAGATGCGTATTCAATACATAGCAAGATTTATTGCTGTAGTCTGGGTCAGATTCTGTTCTCAGCCATTCCACTGTAAAAGTGAAAAAAATCAACTGAAATCATTGATTGATTAAATCACAAAGTCATTGAATTTCTTTTATGTCAAAGGATTTACTCCAGATTTATACTGCATTACTGAAAACATAGTTTGTTTATTAACACAAAAACCAACAGCATGAATTTGAGAAGGAATGTTTTCCTATTTATCTAGTTTGTTGTCCTTTACAATGCATGTGAAGTATAGCAACACGGGCTGGACAGATATTCACATTCATTTTTCTCCATCCTGAACCACGTAACATTGATTTAGATGTATGCTGACATGTTGAAACTTGACGTGCTGTTTTGGGTAATGGAGAACCCATGATTTCCTAGTTGAGGCTATAGTGCTGTCTGTAATAACAAACCTATGTGCAGATATGTCTGTCTGCAGGTTGAATACACCGTTTTAGGAGTTTCTTCTTCTCTTGATACTTCTGAACAGCATTTACATCAGCGGGAGTTGTGGATAGTTATCCAGGGGAGAGCGAGCACCTATGTGGCATAATGTCAAAGCCGTATTACGATGCTGTTGCAAGGCCAAGTGACAAGGAAAGCAGAGTAAGAATGGATCTGACTCTCCAAAGTGAAATTCTAAGCCTGTTTTTACATGATGGCCTCAGCGATTGTTCAAGGATTCTGGTCCTCTTGCTCAGCTGGGCAGAATGCAAAGCAAGAGGAAGTCTTCCTACTTTCTGCAGCACTGGCTGAATGCATTTCAATGGGCTGGAGTGTCACCTGTGATTTATTGGCCATTTTTGTTCTTTTATGTGTTATATTTGTCATTTTCACAGTGACAGTTTCATCTATAAAACAGTATAGTTACAAGAAAATGTTAAGAGGGTACAGGAGTGCCATGGGAGCTACTGTTTCCTTTTCTCCTTTTTTTTTTTCCTAGTACATTACAGAGTCAAATGTCAGGTTTTCTGTTTTTAAGACAGTGCAGCCAAAGCATCTAGGATTTTAAACATAAGTACATTTTCCATAGAGCACCTGAAGATGAGCCGAAGTTAAACAATTAGACAGAGGGCC